CAGCTGTTGCTAGAGGAGCCCCAGGTGGTGCAGTGGGTTAAATCCTTGTGCCGGCAGGACAGCTGGCCAATAGGTCAGTGGTTTGAATCTGGGGAGAGGATGTTGATTTCCCTCTGTCAGCTCCAGCTTCCTATGCGGGGACTTGAGCGAAACCTCCCACAAGGATGGTAAAAATCAAACATCCATGCGTCCCTTGGGCAACATCCTTGCAGATGGCCAATTCTCTCACACCAGAAGCGACTTGCAGTATCTCAAGTCACTCCTGACACACACAAAATAAATCTGTTTCTAGACCTTACATCACTTGCAGGGTTACCTGTGCAGACTTTTGGGCTTCAGCAGAAACCTGGACCATCTTGGCAGTGCCGACCACCGTGTTCACTAAGAGCTCAGCCATCGCTTCCGATATCCTGGGCGCAAAGCTAGTCGTGGCCTCTTTATCAGCCTCCGAAGAGCCGGGCGTGGGAGAGTCACACCTTTCTTCCATTTTGGAACTGGGAAGAGTGAGGTAGGGGAAGAAGAGTGGATGGATAGTAGTTCTAGAGTAGAAAACGTAGTAGAAATAGCTCTTTGCAGGAGTGCCCTCAGAGCAGGTCTTTGAGGCAGATGTCTGAAGCCGCAGAATGGACATGATACGAAGCAGAGAACAATCTGTATCAGTGGTTCTCATCTTTTCTAATGCCGCAGTCCTCATGTTGTGGTGACCCCCAACCATAACATTATTTTCGTTTCTACTTCATAATTGTAATTTTACTACTCTTGTGAATTGTAATGTAAATATCTGATATACAGAATGCATTTTCATTCACTGGACCAAATTTGGCACAAACACCCAATACACCCAAATTTGAAAACTGGTGGAGTTGGATTGATTTTGTCATTTGGAAATTGCAGTTGCTGGGATTGATAGTTCACCTAACTCCACCAACTCCACCAACAATGGAATAGAACCCATCTTGGCGCACAGAACACCCATTACCAACAGAAAATATGGGAAAGGTTTTGTCAGCATTGACCTTGAGTTGTAGTTCACCCACATCCAGAGAGCACTGTGGACTCAAACAATGATAGATCTGGACCAAAGCTGGCACAAATACTCAAATATGTCCAAATGCGAACACTGGTGGAGTTGGGGAAAGTAGACTTTGACATTTGGGAGTTTTAGTTGCTGAGATTTATAGTTCACCTACAATCAAAAAGCATTCCAAACCCCACCAATGATAGAATTGGGCCAAACTTCCCATACAGAACCCCATGGCCAACAGAAAATAATGGAGGCATTTGGGATGAATTGACAATGATTTAGGGGAGATGTAGTTCACCTATATTTGAAGAGCACTGTGAACCCAAACAACTATGCCAAAGGGGTTCCTAAGACTGAAGGGGAAAATGAAAGGGCATGAGGCTGTTGGGAATGGTGGGAGTTGAAGTCCAAAACATCTGGAGGACTGAAGTTGGCCCATGCCTGCACTAGACTGTGTATTTGTAGTCAATGTCAGGTAGAAGACATTGTGCATTATCTGTTAGTCTGCCCATTGTGACCCAAGGGAAAGACACCTGAAACCCTTGTTGACTAGAATAATAATCCAGTAACAAATAATTATTTCTGATTTTTCTATTTTGAGTATTGTATTTTTTTGTGCTCCCACTGAAAGTGGCCAGTCAATACTATAAAAATCCAAAATATGTTGAGCTTTTTATAGAACAGATTTACCAACTGTTTGAAGCCTAAAATACAGTCATCGATAAGCACGTGAAGCTAAATATGGCCCAACATGTCATTGGCTTGGCAATCAATGGCTCACAGCCCAACTTTAAAGGGAGTGGGAGAAGATATGTAAATGGAAAATGGAGAGTTTGGCCATATAGTGATCAATATCTGGAAATAGTGCAATGGGGATGCAGAGGGTGCCTTTGAGGGAATATTTCTGCAGAGAGGGGTCTCCATACCACCCTCCAACTCAGGTGTGGACAACCAGCCCCTGGATACAAACCATCACTCCCTTCGCTGCTGCAAGAGGTGGGCCGCAACCACAATGCTCCTTTGACTTGGTACCTAACTGCCAGGGATGCGGTTGCCATGGGGACGCTTCAGAGCCCAGTTGCTAGGTGATGGAATTCCTTCTCAAGGAAGAGGGCTGGATGTTTGCAGGCTGCAGGAGGCAGGGATGGAGCCAGCAAAGGTCTGTGAACATGGCTGTTTGGTTGGGTGTGGGGAGAATAGTATTTTGGAAGAAGGAAGAAATTAACTCTGATTGAGAGATCCCTCATGAAACTTCCAATGTGCAACAGTTGACCATTGAACCCAGAATTGCCCTTTGGGTCCAAAATGTTTCTGAGACCACAAATCTATTAACTGAGCCAGGAAATCAAAAGAATGGACAGAACTCAAGTTGTAATTCAATGGCACATACATATTTAAACCATAGAATCAAAGAGTTGGAAGAGACCTCATGGGCCATCCAGTCCAATGTTCTTCAGAGATTCTCAGCTGAGAAAAAGCTCTATGGCAGAGCTTTCCAAACTGTTTCGGGAGACATTAGTGCAGTGGTTTCCAACCTGTGGGCTGTGAACCACCAGTCGTCCCCAAGAACCAAAATATGGTCCAGGGCCTCACCATTACTACACCGTTGCCTCAAAACCACGTGCTAACAAGAGCAACTGGTCATGCGAAACCCTCTTATAGTGCTGAGGCCATTGGGACGTCGAGAGGGGAGAGGATGTTGTTCATTCGTTCAGTCGTCTCCGACTCTTCGTGACCTCATGGACCAGCCCACACCAGAGCTCCCTGTCGGCCGTCACCACCCTCAGCTCCTTCAAGGTCAATCCAGTCACTTCAAGGATGCCATCCATCCATCTTGCCCTTGGTCCGCCCCTCTTCCTTTTACCTTCCACTTTCCCCAGCATAATTGTCTTCTCTAGGCTTTGCTGTCTCCTCATGATGTGGCCACATCATGGGGAGAGGATGACTATCTATGAAATATTACTACTACCACATCAGCTCTAGATTATTAAATATGGTTTTCTATGGGCAAGCAGATGGCGATTACTGGATTGCATATGTTCTGTATCAGAAACTAGAGCTGATGTGGTCTACCAACACAATTTTCTGGATCAGCACCCCAAATAACCAAAACGAATCTAAATTTGACCAAAAACTGATTTGTAACCCTTTGGATACTAATGTGGGAGAGTGGCTCCTGGTCCAAGTGGTCCCTGGTCAAAAAAAGGTTGGGAACCACTGCATTAGTGTGTTGGCTGAAGTATAAAGGTACAGTATGTCGCACGAACATAACGAGAAACATGAGTCTCTGTGAAATAAGTAATAAATTATATATATTTTAAAAATATAAAGTTTTTCATGAGCCGCTGAACTTGCAGACTGAAAGGTGGGTGGTTCGAATCCGGGGAGTGGGTTGAGCTCCTGCTGTTAGCCTCAGCTTCTGCCAACCTAGCAGTTGGAAAACATGCAATTGTGAGTAGATCCATAGGTACTGCTTCTGCGGGAAGGTAACAGCGCTCGATGCAGTCATGCCACATGACCTTGGAGGTGTCTACGGACAACACTGGCTCTTTGGCTTAGAATGGAGATGAGCATCACCACACAGAGTTGGACACAACTAGACTTAATGTTAGGGGAAACCGTCTTCCTTTACTATCTTATTATTATAATTTATGTATGTGTCTGTATCTCTTATTAGGAGTTGGTTTCATCTCTGGTTTGCTAGTAAAACCGAATGGCTGTCACAAATTGATGCATGACTAAAAAGTGTGTCAACAACATGACAAGTTTAGAAAATTCTGCTCTAAGGACACATTTCAGATGGCTTAGGCTATAAATCCCTAAACAGTTCAATTCCAGTTTACCTGCCCGAACGTATCTCCCTTTATGATCTGGTGTGACTGTTAAGATCTTCTGAGGAGGCCTTGCTCTTGGTCCTGCTCTCATCGCAGATGCGGTTAATGGGGACGAGAGACACGGCCTTCTCGGTGGTGGACCCTCGGCTGTGGAACTCCCTCCCCAGTGACATCAGAACAGCCCCCTCACTCTTAAGCTTCAGGAAGAATATTAAGACCTGGCTATTTAAGCAAGCCTTTGAGGATTAATATGACCCATAAGTATGACGAAAGAACGGCAAAGCAATTAGTTCAATGTTTACAAAGCTCAGTTGCTGCTAGACTTTTGATATGTTTGAATTGTTTTAAAGACTATTTTAATTGATATGTATAGTAGGTGTAGTAGTGGGTTAAAGCACTGAACTTGCTGATTGAAAGATCGTAGGTTCGAATCCAGAGAGCGGTGTGAGCTCCTGCTGTTAGACCCAGCTTCTGCCAACCTAGTAGTTCAAAAACATGCAAATGTGAGAAGATCAATAGGTACCACTCTAGCAGGAAGGTAACGGTGCTCCATGCAATCATGCCAGCCACATGACCTTAGAGGTGTCTAAGGACAATGCCGGCTCTTGGGCTTAGAAATGGAGATGAGCACCAACCCCCATAGTTGGACACGACTGGACTTAATGTCAAGGAAAAACATTTACCTTTAGGTTTTTTACAGTTCTATAATATTGTGTTTTACTAATATTGTTATTGTCTGAATCTGGCATTGAATTATTGCCATAGTTTGTAAGCCGCCCTGAGTCCCCCTTTGAGGGTGAGAAGGGAGGGGTATGAGTACAGTAAATCAATAAATAATAGACTCTCTAAGGAGGAAAATAAATTATTTTGTCTCTCAGAACATGTATTTAAAACAAGGCAGCAAACTTGGGCCCTCCAGGTGTTTTGGACTTCAACTCCCACAATTCCTAACAGCCTACTGGCTGTTAGGAATTGTGGGAGTTGAAGTCCAAAACACCTGGAGGGCCCAAGTTTGCCCATGCCCGATTTAAAAGATAGATTGATGTGTTGAAGGGAGTTATTTAGACACCAGAGATAGGCTCCTGCCCTGTAGGAACGTGACCCACGCCCTCACCCAACCCAAAGAGACAAAATACTTTGGCTTTTAAATATTCAACATTTTTATTAAAAGATTTCTCACCCCATCCCGAAATCTACCCCACTGGTAGCTCCTGGGAGAGCAAACCAATTCCATCCTTGTGTTCTTATTCCGTTTATTTTGCTCCCCGATCCCAGTAAGACTCAAGCTTCCCTGCCCCATCGTGGTGGTGGTGGTTGTATTGTTTTTTTTAAAAAAAGTGTTTTTTTATTTTCTAATACATTCCATAGGACACATATGTCTAAGTTTCCCCCAAACATTTTTTCTTCATATATAAAAAAAGACATACACACATACATACACACACTCACATTAGTTTTTAATCACCCACACATAGGGAGACAGGAAGAAAAAAAAGAGAAAGAGAGAAGGGAAGGAGGGAAGAGAAGGAAAGCACCAAAAAAAGAAAGAAAGGAAGCAGGGAAGGAAGACAGGAAGAGGTAAACTGTACACAGGGGAAGTTATGGCACCAAAAAACAGAAAAAGGATTCTCTTTTTTTTAGAAACGAAAGGATTAATTATTATAATACATCAAGCCCCTCTGGCCCCGTCCCTCCCCATGCCCCCATTTCCCAATCCCAGGCAGGCAGAAAAATCACTAACTGAACATCTTGAAGTAACAAAAGGGAAAAAAAGAAATCCCATTCTCATCCCTTCCCTCCCACTTGCTACTGGTTGGAAATGGTGGCCTTGTTTAGTAAAGTTTTATGAACGGTGGGAAAGGGTTCTAGAAGTCAGGTTGGCCCAGGACTTTGAGAACGTCCCAGATTGAAAGCACATTTGGGTGGGTACAGAGGGGTTATTTGGTGGGCAAAGAAGGGTTTGTGATGATAAGACATGGGGCCCAGGGTTTCAAAGTTCCCCACACCAAGAAGGAAACTCCTGTATCTCATTCCTAGAAACCAAAGGATTTTCAAAACGAACACTTCCCTAAACCAGAGGGAAAGAGCTGCTTCAAAATCTTGTTCCAACTGAGATTTTACTGGGTTGTTGTGCGTTTTTTGGGCTGTATGGCCATGTTCCAGAAGTATTCTCTCCTGATGTTTCGTCTGCATCTATGGCAGGTGAACTCAGAGGTTGTGAGGTCTTCTTGGTATGGGGGGCTCACAACCTCTGAAGATGCCGGCCATAGATGCAGGTAAAACGTTAGAAGAGAATGCCATGTTCCAGAAGGATTTTCTCCTGATGTTTTGCCTGCATCTATGGCAGGCATCCTCACCACCTCTGAAGATGCCTGCTATAGATACAGGCAAAATGTCAGAAGAGAATGCCATGTTCCAGAAGCACTCTCTCCTGACATTTCATCTGCATCTATGGCAAGAATCCTCAGAGGTTGTAAGGTCTTCTTGGTGTGGGGGCCTCATAACCTCTGAGGATGCCTGCCATAGATGCAGGCGAAACATCAGGAGAGAATGCTTCTGGAACATGGCCATAGAGCACGGAAAATGGACTCAACCCAGTAATTCTGGCCACGATAGCCTTCGACAACACATTGAGATTTAACTCTTTGTAAAAATGGTCTAGCTCCATGTTGGCAAACATGTTTTTTCCCCTTAGCTCACATTCAACTCTCCCTTTGCTTTGTGCATCACTTGGGACCATTCCCAAGCAGAATACTATATATCCCATAAAGCAAACATTCCCTGCCCACTAGGAGAAATCTGCAAAGAGGGATTTTTTAAATCCCACTCCCATTTATCTTTCGGATCACAAAACTATTTCCCCACTTCCTTCCCCAAAGAAAGGATTGCTTCATTCTTCCTTGAATAACTTGAATTTCTTTTGCACGGCTCATATACATTTTGTCCTTTCCTGATTGATCGCAGGCCTAATTCAGACAAACAAGCAGGTGGAAACTAGAGCTCTTCTTATACTGTTCAACTCTGGACAACAGGTCAGAGAGACAACAGCTTCCCTACAGGAAAACCATGAACACATATTGCACGCGGGAGGCAGACAGATAAAGATCTTGCTTCTCTGCCCTCCCGCTTTTCTTTGTACAGGGTACTATTTAAAGATCCAGTTATATTATCATCCAGCTGAAACTCAAAATAAAAACAGTCCAGTAACAGCTTTAGTATCTCATCTGCTATTGGATATCAACATGGCAATCCTCCTGATAGGGTGGAAGAATGGTCATGCTATGACCATGAAAGGAAAACAAATATTGGAGGGACATCTTCTCAGAACAGGGCTTTTTAGACGTGTTTTCATTATGATATTTCTCCCCAATTTTAAATACCTGTCCACAGTGTCCCAACTCTGAATGGACATACACCGGTGCTTCTTAATCCTACCTAGAACATTTTTGGAAGAAGCCCAATTTTTGTTTATATATGCTACAGTAGCCTTCCCTAATAGGATGTCCTTCAGATTTCTGCTCCTCTCATTATCCTCACCCAGCAGAGTAATGGGGCATGTTGGCTGAGCATGATGGGAGTTATAATCCAATACATCTGAAAGGCATCACATTTGGGCAATACTGTGCCACAGTTTCAAAATCTCCTGCTGGAGAAGAAACGGAATACAAAATTATCTTCACTTGCAGAGTTGCCTATTTATCCTTCAATCGATGACACAAGAAATTAGTGCACATAACGTTCAAAACGTTTTCTACTGACTGGTGGCATCATCTCAGTCTGACCCACATAAGATCTGGGGGTAACTAAGAGGAGGGCTTGTTTTCCATCAGGAAAATTGTTCAATCTTTTTGACTAGAGAAAATTATTTTAGCAAATGCAAAAGGAGAAAGGCAACCAGACCTCTAAAAACCCAATTCCTTATTTTGACAAGTTGACCCTGTTCCCAAACCCTGGGTATCCAGCCTTGGGGTTTGATCATATTGGGTGTTTTGCAATGTTCTTGGGGTAGGGAAGAAAAATTGGGAGAAAATATGGGAAAGAGAAAGCATAGGGAAAAGTGGGGTGAAGAAGGGTCTTCTCCATAATTATTTCCTAATGCAAAATATGTTCTTCACTCTGCTGGCCAACTGATCTCTTGCATGCAGCTATGAACCCGGGGCTCCAGATCTGGGTAAACTAAACCTCTCCAGTAAGGTGTATATCAGCCACGTGGAGAAGAAGAGCCGTAGCCTGGAGGCAAATCTGAAAGGGGCCAAAGAGTTCTAGGAGAAGGCTGCAAGGAGAAAACCAGGCTCAACAGAGAAGAAGGAATTGATATTTTGGAGACTTCAGACTGTGGTCAGGAAACTAAATTTTAATGCTAAGCACGGGGAAAGGACTATTGTTCAAAGTCCATCTGAATTACAGGACTGGTGAGGTGGATTCCCTACCCGTCATCCCCAGAGAAGGAGGGAGATGTAGTTTTCATGATGAAAAGATACCTGGGATTGCATGGACTTCAGTCCATATCACCAAACAGACAAATGGGCAGGTGGGTTGAGGGCACTACTGAAAGTCTACATTCTGGCTCATGACAGGAATGTGAGGACTGTTTTAGGGCCATCTTTCTCCCCGGTCCCTTCTGTTCCCAGCCACGTGGGACCAAGATGGTGCCAAGGTAAGTCCTGAGAGCTGGAGCAAGCCACTCTCTGACAAATGGGGCAAAGGCTGGCAAGAGCCTAGAGCATCTTGTGATGTACACCTCCCTCGCCATCCAACATACAGTAAAGTTAAGGAAGGTTTCTGGTGAGAATGGTCCAGAAGCAGATTTGAGTTCTGTTGTCTGTAGGGCATTGGGCAGGATCAAAAAGTCAACATCCGCACCCAAGAAAGGAGGGAAAGTTCTTCACTGTCAATCTGATAGTTCTACGCATGCACAGACTGACCGCCACCACCGGCAATCCAGGGTCCTCTCCAAATCCAGGCCCACTAATTTTAATTCCTCTCACTACTTCAGCTGATTTAAGGAATAATGATGCAAGAGAAAGATAACAAACAGGTTTTCTGACTGCGGCAGTTCTGTTCAAAGCCCCCAGCGGGCAAACTATAGGGGCACAATCAAGAACTGTGAATCTGTTCCAATGTAGGATCTCCCCCCTCCCCATCCCCGCCCTCTCTTTTTCTCTTACCAGGTGTGGGATTGGGACTATTTTCATTCCCACCCTGCAGAGATTAATTTAGTCTCCATTGCTGGGCACTGTTCTATGTCTCTCTCCATCTACAGATTGCAGCAACGCTGGGGGAGTGACCGACAACAGCCAGGGATGCAAGGACTGATGGCCCACGTCATGTCCGCAGCTTCGGTGTCTCCATCCGTTTGGCGGGGGATAGGAAACCACGATCTGAGGAGGCGCCAGGCGTGCTCCAGAGGGCAAGAATTCAACCTCCCCAATCTCACAGTCCAGTCTTCTGCATCTCTGTGCTTGCGAGGTGGTGGCAACTCAAAGGCTCCTGGCGATGGCTGAGGAGCCTTCCACTGGGGTTCGGTTTCACAGCATCTCCCCCATCCCCCTTTTTAAAAATCTTGCTGAGCCCTGGCAAACATGCCCCACTTCCCACCCCTCTCCAACAGCCAATCCCCTGTCTCCTTCTGGAAAAAGTCTCCCTGTCCTCGCCCAATCGCCTCACGAATAGGAAAAGTGCGACCCATTGAGGATGTGAGAGGTGACACTGGCCGAGCGGCTGATGCCCTGGTCCGACTGGCCGCCCGAAGCCGTGCGCCGCAGCGGCTGTGGGCTGTTCCTCAGCATGACCACGTTGGAGCGGCCACCGGGGGCTGAGGAGGAAGAGGAGGAGGAAGAGGAAGGAGAAGAAGAAGGAGGGTGGAGCCAGGCTGAAGGGGGCGGGGCCAGCATGGGGGGCTGTCTCCATGCGTGAGGAGCGCCGGCTGTGTTCTGGACGCCGTGGCTCCAATGGGAGCCACTGCGGGGAACAGGGCGGGAGGGCCAGGGTTGAGGGGGGGCAGTATAGCCTTGGTTGAAGGCTTCAGCTGGAATGCCTGTGAGTGCCATGTTGCTGAATCCCAGGCGCATGCTCTCCGAGTCAAAGGCCTCGATCTCCCGGGCTTGCCGCTCCAAGAGGCTCCGGATGCGGTCGGAACGCTCATTCTGCAAGGCCAGCATCTCCTCCTCAATCTAGAGATCAACAAAGGAAAAGATGCAAGAGATGGCAGACAGAACATAGGAGCAGGAACCTGCAATAGCAAAAGTTCGCTTTGAGGAGGGCAAAATGGATGCTCCCAAAATAAATTTTTGCCTTCCCTATGGAATTTTCCTTTTGTCCCTAAATGTTTAATAAACTTGAATAATAATACTTTATTTATACCCCGCCACCATCTCCCAGAGGGACTTGGGACGGCTTACAAAGCACTCAAAGATGCAAACACATAAAATACAAAAATCGCAAAAACAATAGCATAAAGCAATAACAGCCAACATAAATATCTCACTTCACAAACCCCCCTGGTTAAAATCAGTAAAATACAGCAATAGCTGCAGGTATAAAATAACAATAATCAATCTCAGTAATGTAAATTGCTGGTGAAATCTATGGGTCCTCACATATATTCATTAAAGGAATCCAAATATGGTCGAAGGCTTGTTGAAATGTCTAGCATTACATGAACGTAAAAATTCACCTGAGCATTTAGAAATAAAAGTTTAGGCATCCAAAGAAAAGGGCCAGGCCAATTTACCAAGGGAGTGTGTGTGATCACAGCAAAGGTAAGAGTAAATCTATTTGGAAATAATTTTCAATTTCACTCTCTGGTATTCTAAATTTGGGGACTGAATTAAAATGTCATTTCTGGGGAGGGGCAGAATCTATATGGCAGGCATTCTCCCAGAAGCCCTAGCTAGATTGTTCAATGGTCTGGAATTCTAGGAGTTGGGAGACCTAAACAGCTGAAGGGCTGCAGGTTGTCTTCTATATGGGAACACAATTATTTCCCTTCTTTCCCTTTATCTGTTGTTATACCCTGAATGCAAATCCATTTATTTTAGTGGTTCCCTCCCTCCGCTCTGAACAGGAACAAGACATTAAGGAAAAGGATGGATTAATTGCACACATTTGAAAAAGGTGGGGAAGATACTCTCCCAAGCCCTGGTGCAAGAGCCGTGATCTCTGAGGACAAGCCAGGAGATGCAGGCACCTACCCTTTGCTCTAGCAGTGCCCGGCGGATGGATACCCGCTGCTCAAGCTCCTTAATCTCCCGTTCATGTTGCGCTTCTGTGTGGATCTTGATTTTGCTCTGATAGGCATTCAGCAGCTCCAGCTCCTGTTGCAGCTGCATCCGGAGGACCTGGTACTCTGCCTCTTGTGTCTCATCCAACCGCAGCTAAGAAGGGACAAGCGAAGAGATGAGGAAAGAAGATAGCACTGCAGGGGTGAAGCTGAAGAGAGGGGGCAGGCATGGTTTACCTCCTGCTGCTGTACAGACAACAGGTCTGCAGCCCATTCCCATAAGTGTTGGACTAAACTTCCAAAATCCTGACATAGCAGACGGGGATGCTCCCCTTGGCAGTCTTGGGAAGGTGGGTCTCCTTCAGCCTCAGAAAATAATTTACAGTGACCAACCTCAGACAGAAGTTATGAGACTAATAAAGAAATAAATCTATACCCCATTTTGAAGGCATTTATGTCATGAAGGGTGCATCCAAGCAACCATGTCCAGAACTTAGAAAATTTGCTTTTCTATATGGATTTTCAGAGGCAACCTGCTGTAACTTTCTAAGGCTAATTCTGCGCAGGACAGCCTGCAAAATTAGAACCAGTTTCTCTGATAAACACTGACTTGTCAACCAGAATGGGGGAATGGGAAAACAGGAATAGGATTTTTAATTTTTGCAGACTGGATTTCAGCGCAAGGGTTGGAAAGGCTCTTCTGCCTGGGAACATGGGCCAATCCCCCCTCCTCCACCCTCTAAGGCCAGGGTGGTGTGGGGTACCTACGGCCTGGGTGGAGAGCATTTCATTGATGCTGTGGTCGTACTGCTCGGCGAGGATGGCCAGCTTGCGCGTCTGCTCATCCTTCAGGCGTTTGAGGATCCCTTTGTGCTCGCTCTTCGGGGTGGTCTCCAAGAGGTGGTTGCGGAGGGCCTTGTACTGCCGCGTCTGGATCTTGCAGGTGTCCTGGAACTGCTTTTTGATTTGCAGTTCCTTGGACTGGGATAAGCGAGAGAAGGGAGAAGGACAAAGGAGGAGGCCAAGAAAAAGCAAAAAATAAGATAGCCCAAGCCAAAGGAGGAAGGAAGGCCAGCGAACAAAGGAAGAAAGTACCAAAAGGAAGTAAGAGGAAGAAGAGAAAGGGAGAGAGAGGAGAGGAGAGAGAGAGAGACAGATCATGTGTTAGACAAACAACTCCCACCAGCTGGGGTTTGGTGGGGACAGCCTGCAGTTTTATTATTGTTCTACCGGACGTTGCTTACAAGAAGAATTCTCGCAATACTCAAAGGATGTCGCCTTGAGGTCCAAGAAGGGACATAGAGTAGTTCAGGGTGATCAAATTGTGGTCCTCCAGATATTGGATTTCAACTCCCACCATTCCTACTAGGCAGAACAGCTAATAGTGAGGAAGGCTGAGAGGATTGGCTATCCAATATCATCTGGAGGGCTACGTTCTTCATGGCAAAGCCCAATTCATCTTTAGGAGGACCCATATTCACAACACTTCCAGTTAAGAGCATGTAACCTGTAGTTTTCCAGCAGCTTTTGCTTACATCTTCTATCAGCCCACCCAGTGTTGTGAATGATCAGGGTTGGAGGAAATTGGTAGATGAAATCATATAGCGGGACTGGGAAAGAGCTCTCCATGTCTCAAACCCTGGAAAGCCATTGAGAGTCAAGAAGAAATATTATTAGGTCAGATTAATTTTGCATAAGAGTGTTCTGTTTTCCATCATGGAAGAACAGTAGGAGATAAATGTTTTTGTATGAAAATTACCATGCAGTTCTGCCAGCAACTAGTTTTTCTGAATATGACTAAATTTTGAATGGTTCAAGGGTTAAGAAAACAGCTGAAAGAGCTGGGTAAATGTGTTTTAAATGAATAAACAAACATGGCTTCCACCACTCTTCTAGCATAAGAATGTCTATCTCTCTTCCCCGGCGGTTCTCCTGGGGAACAGTAGCAATGCTGCTCAGGTCCATTCTGTAAGAGGGCCTTCGGGGAATGACTTCTGCCCACAAATCAAAAAGGAAGAGGAGAGCTCTCAAGCAGAGCCTTTGCTGTTTTTACTCAGGGGAGGGTTAAATAGCGTATATTGTTCTTGAGAGCTAATCTTGGGTTGCTAATGGTTTTTTTTTTAAAAAAAACAAACCCAAACTCATCTTGTAAATTAAAGTTACTAGGAAATTTAGATATTTCATTCGAAAACTTGCCAATGTGAGTAGATAAATAGGTATTACTTCTGCAGGAAGGTAATGGTGCTCTAATGCAGTCATACTGGCCAGATGACCTTGGAGGCATCTACTGATAACGCTGGCTATTCAGCTTAGAAATGGAGATGAGCACCACTGCCCAGAGTCAGACATGGTTATATTTAATGTCAGGGGAAACCTTTACCTTATATATGATGGAGTGAATGACGTGTATATTTCTAGAGATGGAAATGAGAACATAGAACAGAATGAACAACATGGCTATGGCTTTCCCAAAAGGTGGAGAATAACTTTGAGATGAACATGTATGTGTGTTAACCTCTACTAAAAACATATAACGCCTGATATTTTCGATACTGTTCTGTTATAGACAATACCCATATGTTTCAACATTTCACCCTCCATGATGCTGGACATGGAGCAACACATATGCTCTTCACTTAAAATTCTCTCTAGGTCTGCCTTCTGTTAATGGGTACCTTACATTCAGTTCCATGTGGTGGTTTTTAAAGGATTTCCCTCTGATGGCATTTTTGTAACTCAAGGGAAGGCAAAGTAGAACCCTTTGGATGCTGTTGGACTGCAATTAGTCCTAGCTTGTATAGTCCATGGTGAGGAACTACATTCCAATAACATCCAAGGGGTTAATACATAGCTGAACTTCTGGTTTATTTAAAATAGCACTCAAAAAACACATCAGGAAGGAGGGTGTGGGGAGTGGAGGAAAGTGTTGGATGCTCCCAATCTATGAATATGTCAGACCAACATCATTAGCAATAATAAAGACTATCCTACCAAATAACTAAACTCAGTTTCTCTCTCTGGATCATCTCATGGCAAGACTACTGAAAGCTGTGACCAGACAGTGGAAAGACCGAAGCCAGAGCTTGGGTTAGTTGCTTTCTGTGACTAAATTTACAAGGATCTCCAAGCCACTTTGATTTGGGAATAATGCTAGTGCTGGACATCTGGAAGTAGTGGCCTGAAAAATAATTTTGCAAATTCTTGTCTTCAAAAAAAAAAAAAAAAAAAAAAAAAAGAAAGAAAAGGCAAGACCCTCACCTTTTTGCCAGAAGTAGACATGGGAGTGGAGGAGGGTAGATGAACCTGGTCTTTGGAAGGGAGAGAGTACCTGACTCCACCATTGGACTGTCCATGTTGGAGAAGTCCATGAAGGGCATGTGGAAATGACTGCCCAGAAGGGAGCTTCCCAAAGTGAGGCAACTATCTATTAGAAGAACAATTTGGGATCATTCATGGAGAACATATCCCTTTTTGTTTCTCTCATGGATGGCCTCAGAAGACTTAGGAAGTCTGGAGCAGGGGACATTTGGCAGAAAAAGTGGCAGAGATCAGCTTGGGCTGGTGATTAGTACAAAACCTCTTATTTTTGCTTGTAAGCCATGTGTAGAATTATTTTGTGTAGATCACAGTTAAATGGAAATGGAGCATCCAGGAACATGAGAAACAAATCCCACCCTACACACATGGGCAAACTTGGGCTGTCCAGGTGTTTTGGACTTCAACTCCCACAATTCCTAATAGCTTCAGGCTCTTTCCTTTCCCCCTCAGCCGCTTAAGAGGCTATGGGTTTGCCGATGCCTGGATTATAGACTATTTCTTAGGTTGTGTACTATGGTCTGGATAAAGAGGGAAACTGCTAGGAATCATAGTTCAATATAGCTGCCTTCATTTTGGACTCTCTTTGTGGGCATTGTCATAGAGCAGGCATGGGCAAACTTGGGCCCTCTAGGTGTTTTGCCTGCTTAAGTGGATGAGGGGAAAAAAGAAGGGTCCTGAGGCTGTTAGGAATGATAGGAGTTGAAGTCCAAATCACCTGGATGACCCAAGTTTGTCCATGCCTGCTCCACTATTGGTGTGGGATATAACCTATACACAAGGACTTGAGTAAAACTCAACAACATAAGTAAGCTTTCTTGCCTGAAGTAGCCACTTCACCAAGTAAATCTTTTCAGTAATATAATTATTACTTCTTTGTTTCCAACGTTCTTTAACCAAAAACAGAGAAGTTAGTTAAACCACCTAGAAGTCTAATTTTCTTCTTCTTGTTGTGCATTTTAATATCCTCAACCATTTCAGAGTGCACAGAATTATGAGAGTTGGGAATACTCATAGCGAGTGAGAAAATGAACTAAGAGAAATAGTAAGCACAATAAATATTATAAACTTGGGGAACAAGAAGACATTCAAATTTGGGAGGGGGAGAGAAGGGGGTTTTGAAAACAGACTCATAGCCCAGCTCCTAAGCTTAAAGTGCCTCATTTTATTTAAAATATGAGAAAAGAACCAAATCAAATCAAACTCAAAATTCACAATACGGAGGTGATGAATTGTGGTGCAGAATTTTTTATTGATTTTGTTTTCCTTCAAAATTTCACATGCATCCACAACAGGGAAAGGGAGAAATAAATAAAACCACAGATGAACACCTCTCCCCACACAAAATTGGGAGAAATAAATTAAAAATACTTAACAGAAATTCAAAATAAAAATATGCAAGGAAGGTAAAGGGGAAAACACTGCTCAAACACACACAGGAAAATGGGAAGAAATACAAATACAATATTGAAATGAACCAAATTGAATCTGGATTAATGAAACTATGTTTGGCCGTAAAAAAGGGTTAGAGGAATGGTCAAAATAACAAATAAACAAAACTGGAATAAATAAAAAACCCACAAATGAACCAAAAAAGGGAGAAGTACAAAATCTAGCACTCAATGTAAATACGGGACAAATGAAGAACAGATGAAAGTAGAATTTTTAAAAACTCAAGACATAATTAAAAATGATAAAAAATGTAATATTAACAGATACAATTTAAGAATGGATCACCAATTATTCAAATGGTTGAAAACATGGTTAGCCTTCACCTGCTATAAAAGTGGTAAGAAGGAATGTGAAAAATTTTACCTGAGGAAATGTACTTGAAATACTTCTGAAGGAAATCGAATTTACTCTCATATTTACTCTCAGAATGAATCCACTTCATTCTGCCCCCTGCAGCATTCTGGTATTTGTAGTTTAGGGAGGAGCTTCACTAAACTACAAACCCCAAAATTCTGAAGAGGCAGAAACTGGGTTTAAAGTGGATTCATTCTCTAGTGTGATGAAGTAGAGAGCCAATCATTCTGTGTGTAGCAAATACAACCAAGGTCCAATAATTTGTATAAAAACAAAATGTTTGGCCATTTTTGTGGATCTGTGGCAGCATTCAACACAGAAACAGGTGAGTTTGTTTCCTAAAATATGATTTTAGAAAGAGACTAGCAGCAAAGTTACTGAAATGAATTGTATCAGGAATCTGAGACCGAACCCAACCTGGTTCTTTCCAGAAATGGTGGGCTGTAGTCTAATATACCTGGACTAGTGGACACTGCCATAGTGTTTTGGTGCTTTCCGGTTAGAGGTAAAAAAGGCAAGGCAAGGCAATGATTTCCAAGGGCATCATTATCAGGGGAGATTTATGGGAACTTGTGTTACATATAACTCTTCAGCATTGCTGCTTTGGTAAGAAATGCTACCATCCGATCTAGGTGCTACTGGGGCACCAAGCACAAAGATGGCTGCTTTGCTTAAGCCAGAAATGTCTGGAGACAGATCCTGGAGGAGCCAAACTGTTTCAGTAAAGCTCACTAACATAGCTCTAGGTCTATGTAGTGGAAGAGATGTAAGAATGGGGAAGGTGAAAGTGGCTATACAAGTATAAACCCCAAGCGGTGGGGCACCCAGATTCTAGAGGTAGAAAAGGAAAGATCCTGTTGAGTCCCTGGCAAAAGGAGGAATCCAAGCCATCTCAGCTCCTCCAGTGGTTTCTATATTTTAGTAGTTCCCAACCTGTGGTCCCCAGATATTTTTGGCCTTCAACTCCTAGAAATCCTAACAGCTGGTAAACTGGCTGGGATTTCTGGGAGTTGTAGGCCAAAACACCTGGGGACCCACAGGTTGAGAACCACTGTTATATTTCACTGAGTAGCACAAAAGCAGAGGTGATTAAATTTCTACATAGGGGGAAATTTAAAAGATCAGATCCTCCATTAGCAAAACCCACAGCTTTTTCAACACTGTGGGAGGTATTAAATGTCAAACCATCTTAGGTTTCTGTATAATGTTACAAAAATATGCATGTGTTCATATTTATATAAACAGAAATTAAGGTATCAAACTGTAAAATTCAACTGCTTATATAAAGACTACTGGCCCAAAACAGTTTCAAAGGCCGAGAATGCGATTTTCCATTATTATCAGTCATTTGGGGGACGGGGGCAGGGGGCGGGCGGAGACTACCTAATGGTTCTTTCCTGTAGATTTCTCCCATTTTTGGTTGGATTGTATTTTTAAAAAATAAAGATCTCACATGAGCTCTCCCTTTCCCGCCCCACAAAAACTGTTTTATATAAAGGTTACCAAGCCTCAGTCCTACATACACACAAAAGTATATATACATTCAAGTAAAAACAAACAAAAAAAGTGAAATGAAGGGGGATGTTACAAATAGGGTGGGAAATGATAAATATATATAAATTTGTGGAAAATATATATATATTTGAACGGCGAAAGAATCACCTAAAATTAGAAAGCCCTGAGGAGCTGGGAGGAGTCTGCTTTCTTAAAATACGTGCACCCTTTGAATTTCTTCAGCTTCCATGTCTGGTCAAAAGAGAGTGGAAACTTTTCCAGAACAGAAACAGATCTTGGAAAAGGTACTTTCTAGGGCTACATCTCCCAGAATTCACCAGCAGCCATAACCACAGGCCAATCTTTTTAGAGGAATTAAAGGAATAATAGCCCCAAAAGTATTATCTCAAAGCTCTAGACACATTCCATTCATATTAATACTCTATGTCCCAACACCATCCAACCTTTTATTGGCCTTGTGCTGTCAAAACTCGGGTCACTCGGATCGCCTCCTTGTGCAAGGTATATTTCAACAGAGCAACTGTGCTCAGATGTTTGAAAGGAGGCTACTGGAGAAAGTTTCTACAAGCCTGCACCTCTTATTATCAAACTATTCTTTTCTTTGAGGTGTGTTGATTCAGGGCCTACTAGGTTCAAACCTACAAATGCATTAACACACATACATCTCACATCTCAGTTTTAAAGGGTTTCAGATTCACCCACAACCCCAAATTCTCTCTTTCCCCAGCCAGCCCACATAGGAACAATTAATTTTAGCCCACCCAAACTGCCAGCTCAAAAGGGCGTTAGATGATTCTTTCCTCGTCGGGACAATGAACACACAGCAACGCCAAAATGTGAACAAAGAGGGTGCTGGCTCAAACTCATGGTTCCCCCTCCCCATGTTGAGACTTCTTTCATTCAGCAGACCCTGCTTGGTTCCCCTGGCATTAAGACATTAACCTATCTCCCTCTATGGCAATACTACACAAAGGAAGGAACGAAGTAGTTTTCACTGTCAATACTGCAAATGGCTTTGCCTCTTCTATCAGAATTGCAGAGATTGGCCAACTTCCCAGAATTCTGTGTGAAAGACTAAGGACCATGGCATCCAAGACGCACCAGAATTACGTCTCTTTCAGAGGAGGCTTGTGCTCCTTCTGACCGGTCAAGGCTCATTATCTCCAGGGCTTTTTGGAAGACTGGGTGGCCTGCCCACGACTTCGCCGACTCAAACGTCCTGCGGAGCCCATGGAATGACCTCTTGGTCTGGCTGTGCGGCTCAATAGGCGGGGGATGCGGCTAGGCTTTTCCTCCCGCAGGACATGCAGCCCCTTGAGGCAGCGCAGAGCGGAAGGCGGCAACTGGGCACAAATCACCTCAGTAAGGAGTTTGTTGAGGCTGCAAATTGGCTTGGCAAGGAGGGCTATGACCCTGTGGTGCCAGGGGAGCGGTGGCTGCCGCATTTGTGACAGCACCGGGATACGGCTACGGAAACCGCCTTTGTTAGTTTTGGGAAAGAGGCGGAAGAGACCTCGCTCGCTAACCATGCCCAGGCGCTGCAGGATGCGGAAAGCTGGACGTGGGAGACGAAGGAGGAGCAACAGCCAAAAACGGCGGGCACGCCGGGGAAATCCCCTCAGGCTATGTCTTGCGATTGCCCCAAAGAGATATAGGGGCAAGAAAAGCCAAGGAGATGCTAAAAGGTAGGATGCCAGGAGGATGACTGGCACATACAAGCGGCCCCTGCTGGCACTCAGGCCCACTACACCCACTGCCCCTGCCATCTTGGCCAACAGTAGAAAGGAGGAACCAGAGAGGAGAAAAACTGAGTGCAACAGGGTGTATGTCACCCCTAAGCCCACCAGCCCACCCTCAAGGGCCAGGAGGATTTCTTGAAGCCCTCCACCCTGGGCCCAAAGAGCAGCCAGGAGCAGTAGGAGAGTTGGGGCAGAGGGATAGGCAGAGACCAGCAATGCCAAAGCGACACACAGCGCATGAGGCAAAATGGCTGCTACCGGAGCTGGGACAGGGTGGGCTTTGCTACTGGCCAGGTGATTACAGGTGTCTTCAGGGGCTGGGCAGCCATCACCTGGGCCTCGCTGGGCCCCTTCCTCTATAATAGGTGGTAAAGAGTGGGGGTATAAATCCTCTTCATATCTAAATGGCTCCAGTTTATCAGCCTCTTGCCCATCAGGTTCAGCAACACCTGGATATCTCCGGATGTGTAACAAAACTCTAGAACCTTCTCTGTAATGATCCACTCCTTCAAGAAACTTCTGGCTTAATTCTAAACCTGCTGTTCCCTCTTGCTCTTTCAAGAGTGATCCACTGAAGTCTAGAACCTGAGCTTCTTCACAGACTCCACTCTCCTTCCCTTCAAGCCCAAGGTATCTCTGTTCGAGACCTGTAGCTTCCTGTCCATCTGGAATGACATCAGTTAAGCGCTGCCAAACATAATCTACATCTCCAGAACTCCTCAGTTCAGACACCAAAGCCTCTAAGCCCTGCTCACTCACATCCAGAGTTCTCTTTTGTGAAAAGTCCTTCACAAGAGCCCTCAGAGACAGATTCTGATCTAGATCATCTTTCTCCTCCTGGCTGTACTCTAGAACCATATGTCCATGGCAGTCTAGCTCAGGATTCAGAATCGCCTTGGCATGGATGCACTTCTCTAAAAGGTCTGGACATTTTATTTCTGAGTCTACAATGTTAGTATCATCCTGAACTGGTTCAAAGGTCTCTCTGAAATGTTCGTAATGCTCTAGATCATCACAACAAAGATTGCCTGACTCCAGAACAGCCAAATCTGACCTTTCTAGGCCAAGGTGCCCAACATGTGCACATTCTGCATCTTCATCCACCAGATGCTTGTGAACCCCAGCCACACAGTCACAAGGACCAGGTCCACCCAACTGGTCCTGTACAGACTCCAGAACTCCAGGCTCACATTTGTCCATTTCCAGAACCCCCGAATGCCCCTGCCCTGGCTCCAGAAACCCTTCATCGTGCCCTTCTGGGCAACACTGGCAGCAAGGCGAGGTGTAGGTAGCACCTACTTTGAGGCTCTTAGGCTGTTGCCGGACCTCCATGGCATGTTTCTGGCGTAGCTCCTGCTCGCGACGCTTGTTGTACTCCAGCTGGTTCGAAAGCTCAGTTTGGTGCTGTAGGCGGGTGAGCTCTGTGCGGGTGCGCTGGACGGTGTGCAAGTGCCGGAACTCCAGCTCCTGGGTGGACTCATGCTGGCGCAGCAGCATAGCGCACTCAAGATCCTTCTGAGTCTGTTTTTTGTTCAACTCCTGGGGGAATTTTTTAAAAAAAGAAATGGTGTCAAAACTTACCTTGATACTACTGTCTGCAGTATCAAAGTTCTTAAAACACTTGGTGTCCCTTATTAAGAAGTGGGAGTACTAGATAATATAAAGATTGAGTTTTTGGACTGCAATCTCACCAGGAAAATTTAAATATAATTTCGTCCTATTCTGCTAAGTGTATCTTGCCAACAGGCACTCTTCATCAATCTATGTATGTATGTATGCATGTATTATATTTGTGTCTGGGGTTTACATATGACAACTATTCAATGCCTTTAGACAACAAACAATTAGAATACACTTAAGTTAAAATTAAAATTAAATGCACATTAAAACATATAAAACATTGCATTTACACCGTCCTCAATCATAATCTGGGACCATTCCAAAGATCAATTGCACATATTTCAAGGCTATTATTGCACTATAGATTAATCTCCAAAGACCTGACCCCAGAGTCAGGTTTTCACTCTCCTTCTGAAGGCCAGGAGGGAGGGAGCTGCTCTAATATCACTGGGGAGGAAATTCCACCGCTGAGGGGCCACCTCTGCGAAGACCCTATCTCTCGATCCCACCAGATGCGCCTGTGATGGAGGCAGGATAAAGAGCAGGGCCTCCCCCTAAGATCTTAATCTCCACGGTGGTTCATAGAAGGAGATACATTCAGACAGGTAAGCTGGACTGGAACCATTTAGGGCTTTATAGGCTAAAGCCAGCACTTTGAATTGTGCTTGTAGAAGCCAGTAGAGCTGACGTAACAAGGGGGGGTGTATGCTCCCTGTACGCCTCTCTGGTGATCAACCTGGCTGCTGTTCAATGGACCATTTGAAGCTTCTGAACAGTCCTCAAAGGCAACCCCACATAGAGTGTGTTGCAGTAATCTATTCGAAATGTAACCAGAGCATGGATTACCATGGCCAAGTCTGACTTCCCAAGGTATGGGCACAACTGGCACACTAAAATGCTCCCTTGGCCACTGTCAAAATCTGGGGCTCCAGGCTCAGCAATGAGTCTAGAAGAACTCTCATGCTGCGAACCTGAGTCTTTGGGGGACTGTGACCCCGTCCAACACAGGATGTAATCCTATATCCTGTTCGGTCTTTCAAGTGACCAGGAGTGCCGCTGTCTTGTCTGGATTCAATTTCAATTTGTTTGTCCCCATCCAGACTGTCACAGCTGCCAAGCACCGGTTCAGGACCTGAACAACCTTAGTAGCAGGTGGAGTGATAGAGTTGGACACCATCTGCATACAGATGACACTGAACTCCAAAACTCCAGATGATCTCTCCCAGTGGCTTTCTGTAGATGTTCAACAACATGGGGGATAGTATTGAACCCAGCAGGACTCCAGCACAATGACAGGCATCTCACAACAACACTTTCTGGGAGCAGCCTTTCAGGAAGGACCGGAGCTACTGTAAAACAATACCTCCAAGACTCACTACTGCAAGGCATCCCAGAAAGATGTACAGGACATGGGAATCAGGACAATGACCGGCTCCTGTACCTGGACTACGTAATACTCTCCTGCCACTTATCATCCAACAAGGCATGCAGTCAAGCTTCTGCTCATGTCAGTTTTCCTGGGGCTATAGATAGCCCTACCAAGAAAGAAGCGTACGTATGTGGGGGCAGAACTTCAAGTGTAGACGGATCAATACGTCCCCCACCTTAGGCCAGTCCTCCTGCTTCTCTGTCCTTAAACCCATGACCAATATTCCAATTCTCCCTCCCCACAAAAGAAAGTTCTGCTTTCTGGTGCCCACCTCACGCAGCAAGTCCTGGTCCAAATTGTGGCGTGCCAGCAGCATCTTGCGCTTGTACTGGCGGCACTGCAACTCAAAGTATTGCCGCTGACGACGCAGAAGGTTGGCCTCTTCCTCAGCCTGATAATGCTGCATGTTCTCTTTCTGCCTCAGCAGCCACTCCTGCTTCTCCCGCTTGGGTGTGCTCTGGTTCTCCTGAAGTTCCTAAGAGAAGAACCAGAATGAGATAAGAAACTGGCAGTCCAGAGGATGGGTCCAACAATCTAAGCTTTGGGTCACAGCTAATGGCCACATGGCTCAAAAAAGAACCATTAATTAAAAGTCCCCAAAAAATCTCTCACAATCTTCCTATTGTCTACTTTTCATGACCCGTTCCTTTATTTTTAAGATATTCCCATTCCTCTTACTGTCTCTGAAGATGACAAAGATCACAGATTCTCCTGAAAACCAAATTCTTACCAAATATTTTCCACAATGTTTCTGTCCAAAGTTTATAGTCTAACTTTATTCCTCCAAATAAGTCTGCATTGATTCTATGCTTTGCTCCTCAAGTAAGTTCCTCTAAGGAGTCTACTTTAAGTAACTGGAAAGACAGTGTCACTACAGTCTGTAAAGGAGGGCCAAGAAATGGAAATGCCAGTCTTTTCAGTTTGGGGAAGCACACTCTTTACCTCAAAGGTTTCAATCCACAAAGGAAGTCTGGGCAGAGACAAATGGGGGGAAAGTGGGAAGGGCTGGTGGGTACCAGGAAGTTTGGAAAGGAGACTGGCAAACTGATGTGGGACAAAGAAAAATAAAGGCTTGCTTGCTCCCACCCCCTCATCCCAGTCATTTCTGTTTCTTTTAAAAGCTGGTACCTCTTTGAGCTGCTCTTTGCGCAACTTATACTGGCGTTTCTGTGATTCCAGCAAATTGCCCAATTCTTTCTTCTGCTGGCCCAAGATATGCTGCTGGAATTTTTTCTCCTCTGCCAGGGCTGCCTTGGCCTGTAGGCAGGAAAGGAAAAGGAGAAATAGTCAGTTTAGTTAGTCTCAGGGAGCCATCAATGTCACAATTTCATACAAGGGCAGAAACAATTCAGGGAGTTTCTAATCATTGGGTGGGGGTGAGGAGATTGACTATGTGACCAACAGGCCTTTAACTGAGGCTGGATCTACACTGCCATATAAAATCCACATTATCTGTTTTGAATTGGATTATATGGCAGCGTAGACACATATAATCCAGTTCAAAATAAATAATCGGGATTATATGGCAGTGTAGATCCAACCTGAGATTAAATGATATCCCAGCCTCTCTCTGCAACTACTAGTTACAATTGCTCTGACCAAGAACAGCGGTAAAGATGAAGAGCAATGGGAATGCAAGTGGTGGCATATTTCTCCTTTCCATCGGGATCACTCAAAGAGTAATCCTAATAGAGCTGGAGAAGTTGGGAACCAAGCAAAGAAGGAAAAGCATTTTTGGGAGGGGTAGTTCTTCACTTATTCCATTACAAGTTGTTTAACATTGGCTTGCAAAGGTTAGAGAATACAACATTCCCAATGGATTTCCCCTCCTAGAGATCTGGAGGCTCTCTAGCTTGGTCCCTACAGAAGTCATCATTATTGATCTCTATCCACAGCTCATCTGGCCTGGCAAAGTGACCTCCCCACCCTCTACCTCCACTCATGTAGGTCTCCTCTCTCACCTCCTTCTCAAAAATAGCTTGGTGCTTCTTGGCCAGTTTCTCGGCCTCAGCAGAGAAGTTGTTGCGGTGGGCCTCCAGCTCCTTGTCCAGCCGCAGTTGGTGCTCATCTAGCTCTGCCCGGAGCTTGTTCTCTAGAGCCAAGAGCTGCTTCTGATGCTGGCGACGCATCCGCTTGTAGCCACTCATCTGATCCCGCAGGGCTGAATCTTGTTCATGCTCCTGGATCTGACGAGTCACCTAGGAGGGTGGGCAGGAGAGAAAGAGGAAACTTCATCTGATTTGCCACCTAAACATTGCATTGAGTCGCCGAATCAGGCTGAAAAATGCGGTATAGAAATAAAGCAAATAAATAAATAAATAAATATTCTCAAGTGTTTGCCCATCAAATCTGGACTGCAGCCTGAGAGGGAATAAGAACTTGGCACCTTTCTATCTGTGCCACTCTCAGTAACTTAACCAGAAAAAATTAAGAAATAAGGTTATAGTATATTGCCAGACGTATTCAACAGTTACAGAAATCAGTCACTGTTAATGGCATAGCAGCCAAACAAAGAATCTCAGCCTTCATTTTTAAATGAACATTTCTGGTCTCTCTTAGTTACTAATAGTGCTGGAGAAAGATCCCAAATATGTTTGCAGGAAAGAGTTTGGACCTGAAATTTCATGATAACTTCTCTTAGGTCCATACCCCCTTGGCTTTGCTAAGAGAAAACCATCACCAGTGTTGCTAGATAAAGCTCCCAAACAGTTGATTGAGAACAAAGAGGAGTCTAAAAATTTGTGCTCAATTTCCCCACCCAATACTCTTCTAACAAAGCCATTATAAATGTACCATAATATAAGTAATTAAGTACCGTATATACTCAAGTATAAGCTGAGTTTTAAGCCCTTTTTTAAGGCTGAAAAAAAAAAACCCCTGGGCTCTATTAGAGTCAAAGATATTCATTATTTTACTATGTTGTTGTTATCATTATTATTACATTTATTTAGTCTATGTTGTATTATACTTATTATTTTCCTCTATTATTAGTTATTATTACATTCGTTTTATTTTACTCTATTATTATTATTATTACCTTTATTATTTTACTCTCTTTATAATTATTGGAAGGATATATAAGCACTTTTACATTGAACAAGGTTGGACAGTCTTACCTTAAATTACAGTTTTATGTAAATATTCAAAAAAAATTAACCTACTTATGTCTCAATTAATGTAAATTTATTTATTTATTTATTTACTATATTTATATACGACTCAGGGCGGTTCACATTGGTGCCAAAACCATAAAATACAATTTCAATACAATAAAAACAATCGGATAATAAAACCATAACAAAATCAATAAAAACATGAACATTAGAGTCTCCTATTAAAAACACTGGTATATATTTTTATTTTGAAATTTACCAGTAGCTGCTGCTTTTTCCACCCTCGGCTTATACTAGAGTAAATACATTTTTCCAGTTTTTTGTGGTAAAATTAGGTGCCCCAGTTTATATTTGGGTCTTATATTCAAGTATATATGGTACCTTCTATTTTAATTCCTGCACTCTACGGTACCTTCTATTTTTACTGCACACTAGCTCCACTTCAAATTCCCCCAAAGTATTAATCTTGGCCAGTGATGTTTCAAATAGCTTTTCCAAACCTGGTACCCTTAGATGTGTTGGGTGACAGCTCTCACCATAACACTGGCTGGTAATGATTTGAGTTGTCCAATACATCTAAGGGTACAAGCTGGGGAAAGCCTACTTTATATGTACCCAACAAAAATCCAAGAGGCAGCAGCATTTGCTTCTAGTCGATTAGTTCTCTAGTCGAGGCTGCTTGCACTTGCACAGAAGAACATGACTACAACAGGAACAATAAAGCAAATAAACCCACAATGAAACACACAGGCACGGGTCAATCTTGACTTACCAGGGAAGCAGTACGGATGGTGGCAAAGTGGTCTCGGTTGCGGCAGTAGGCACGGCGTCGGGCAGCTGAGGATGAGCTCTGGGGCTCCATCTCAGGCTGATAGGGGTCATCGTACAAATTGTCATGGCCCTGAGAAGGACCAAAAAAGAAACACGTGTGAAGGATGGGAGAGTTGATGTGGACCATACACAACCAATAAAATCCATTCCCTATTTCTCACAATTCATCTGATAAATAGATAGTCCCCAATTCAGTGCTTCTGTCAATTAGGGATTTCAACACATCTATCACTACTTGCCATCATAAAATAGCAGTATAGTGTCTAGATCCAGGGAAGTCATGCTACCCCTCAATTCTACCTTGGTCAGACCACATCTAGAATACTGTGTCCAATTCAGGGCACCGCAATTGAAGGGAGATGTTGACAAGCTGGAATGTGTCCAGAGAAGAGCAACACAAATGTTCAAGGGTCTGGAGAACAAGCCCTATGAGGAGCGGCTTAAAGAGCTAGGCATGTTTAGCCTGCAGAAGAGAAGGCTGAGACATGATGAGAGCCTTGTATAAATATGTGAGGGGAAGTCATAGGGAGGAGGGAGCAAACCTGTTTTCTGGTGCCCTGGAGACAAGGATGTGGAACAATGGCTAGAAACTTCAAATGAATGATTCTCTCTAAACATTAGGAAGAACTTCCTGACTGTGAGAGCGGTTCACCAGTGGAACTGTCTGCCCTGGGGTGTGGTGGCGGCTCCTTCTTTGGAGGCTTTTAAACAGAGGCTGGATGGCCATCTGTCGAGGGTGCTTTGCGATTTTCCTGCTTCTTGGCAGGGGGTTGGAATGGATGGCCCATGAGGTCTCTTCCAACTCTATGATTCTTTCACCCACAATTACGGCAGCTCACACCCTGATCTCTTGCTAGAGGTGACATTCCAAGTACCAGGTGTCATCCTTCCTTAGACGCAATCCCCCATCATCCCCACTACACATATTATTATTATCTCCTGCTACTGTCTCTTAGGTTCCCCCACTGAAGCACTGATTCTGTACCGGGAGACGATGGATGACTGAGCTGTTGGAGGTGACTGTGTGCTCGCCTTCCTGCATCATGGCGATCTCAGCCCCATCGTCATCATCGGAGGCATCTGCCAGGCTGTTGACACTGCTGCTCTGGCTGCTGGCACTGATGGACATGCTGGGCACCGAATGGCTGCTCTCCATGCTGTTAATGGTGCCTGTCCGGTGGAGAAACTGCTCCACCTCCTAGCAAGACAGAGAAGAGGTAAGAGAAAGGCACTGCATCTGAGGTGCGAAAGGGAAGAGGCTGCCTCTAGACTAAGCAAATTGAAGGAAAACAAACTGGAAGGACTCACCTCCTCTTCTTCTGGTGCTTCAGCATTTGGGCCATTCTGTGCCTCCTGGAAAAGGATTTTCTTCATCTTGCGATACTGCAAGTTGTCAAGCTCCCTGACAGCATCCTTGGTCCGTTGGATCAGGTCCATGATAACTGTCTGAGGTCGTTCTCTCAAGAGGAAGCGATGCTGCGGGGCCACAAGTAATAGTGGCATTAGGTAAATCGCAATTCGTGAAAAAAGTGTTTGAAGTTATGTTCTCCACTGGTTCTTTCATGGTGTGACTGAATGAATGAATAACTTGAGTCAAATACCTTGGGATACGCGCAAACATAGTTATGCTTAACTACACCCACTGGAAACAATGTAAGTTATTCAAAAAATTACCAAATCTGGATCTAAGCCATAGAGAAAATTCAGTCCTTTTCAGGGGGAAATTAAAACCAAGAACAACCGCAAATACTGTAAAAAGGTAAAGGATTCCCCTGACATTAAGTCTAGTTGAGTCCGACTCTGAGAGGTGGTGCTCATCTCCATTTCTAAGCCGAACAGCCGGCGTTGTCCGTAGACGCCTCCAAGGTTATGTGGCCAGCATGACTGCATGGAGTACTGTTACCTTCCTGCAGAAGTGGTACCTTTTGATCTAGTCACATTTGCATGTTTTCGAATTGCTAGGTTGACGGAAGCTGGGGCTAACAGCAGGAGCTCACCCCACTCCCCAGATTCAAACAGCTGACCTTTTGGTCAGCAAGTTCAGCAGCTCAGCGGTTTAACCTGCTGTGCCACCGGGGCCTCCATGTAAATAGTGGAGAAGTAGAGAAATAAAACTTCTGGGAATTTGGAACCGAAGGGTATATTTTCTTTCTTATTGTAGAAAAAAAAAGATATCTTTTCAGAAAAAAAGGAAACGATGCCATCACATTAGCATCCTTGACAATTTGAAAGTTCTTTTGTAGGTTTAGGAAAATAAGCTTCATTATACAGTACAGCTCAGAGATAAATATATTTTAGTCAAAACATTACTGTAAGTTGGATTTATTTTTTAAAATGTAATTTTTTACTAATACAGCTGCATGATACTGCACTATAAAGAATCTCTTTGCTCTTGCCAAAGGAGGAGCAAGGAAATGAAATAATGAAAATTAGTATAATAAAGCTTCATTCTCTATAAGTGCCGACCACACATGATGCATTCCTAAAAAGAACGGAGACAAGGAGGTGGAGTCAGGATCACAAGTCATATTGGTCTGATACTATACATAGTCATTAGTCATAATCCTATTTATTTATTTATTTACTATATTTCTACCCTGCTCTTCTCATCCCAAAGGGAACTCAGAATGGCTCTTACAATTATGGCAAAATTCAATGCTGCATTACAAAAACAAATGAACAAATACAACACATAAACATAAAAATTAGTTCTACATAAGAGTCTTCCTCTTACATATATTTTAAGAAATGATTTAGGGTCAGTATATATAAGAACATTACATCTTAAATCATTATTTCTTCTTTCTAAAATATTTTATAATCAATTTTTCAGTTTTTCCAGAGGGAAAGAGGTTTTTAAAAAGCAGAAGGAATTTTTTTTCCAATTTTCCCGTATTTTTGCCAGGCTGTATCTTTATTGGGAAGATAGAATCAATCCTCCAGTGTTCTGATAAATCAATTAAATGTAAGTATAACGTAAGTAGAAGAGAGGAAGGCATGAGGAAGAAAAGAGGAAGCTTTGGGAAGAACTAGGCTGGGAGTACCTTGAGCAGCACATCAGAGGTTGGGCGGTCCTGGGGGATCTTCTGCAGGCACGAATCCACAAAGTTCCGGAAATATTCGGACCTTGAGGAAAGCAGGGAAGGGAAATCAGAGAGTTTTGCCTTCTTTACAGCTTTCAAATCCTTATGTTTCCCTCCACCACTAGAGTTTTAAACTTATCAGCGCTCAATTGCAATCTTTGAAAAAGCTCCACTAGCATTCTGAAATGTCCTTACCAGTGACTGGACTGGAGGAGAGGAGAATCATTCTGGGCGATGTGGTATAAGGCACTCATAGCATTCATGTTAAAGAGAGGTGGTTTGCGCTCCGCTGAGGATAGAAGGAAACTGTTATTAACAATGCCGTTTATCATCGATCCCACCCATTCTATGTCCCACAGATGCCTCCAAGACAGTTAAGGCAAGAAAGCTCTTAAACATTTTAGTTCTTAAGCACTTATTGTTTACCAAGTTCGATGCAAGTGATACCAAGTGACCAGACATCCACCTTGCCGTCATATTGTCCCTCATCCATGGCTAGGATCACCTCAGGAGCCATCCTAGAAAGGGTTATATGAAAAGTGGTGTGTCATTGTGATGTCTAATCTGTAAGAACCTACACAAGGCATAGGGAGACATATAGTCCAATAATGCCTGGAGAGCAACACTTTCTCCATCCCTGATATACACACTTCAGTCCTTTAACACAAAAGGACAACTTCCTTTCACTAAAAGAAAACAACCCACTTCGTTATGCTTAGATTCTCGTTTCTCAATACTATTCATACCAAAAGGAAAGAAATTATTTTAATTTATTGAATAACTTCATTACTGCTGAAGTTATTATGGGTCCCCAATGTTACACATTTTGCCTAATCTATATGAGAGACCTTGTTATTTTGTGGGTTGTCTGCTGCTTTTATCATGTTCTGATAAATTCAAGATTTTTAAGAAGTAGTAATGTATTTTCCAATCACTCCTGAAAATAACCCCCCTTTATGTAGTCTGCTAATTTTTCCTTGCTGTTTAAGGAACCAAAGAATCTTGATTTGATTTGAACTTGCCCCATTTTAACTCATAATACAGTCTCCCTCTAGTAGCTTCCTAATAACTGTTAGGAAAAACTACCCTAAAGCAGAGCATCCAAAAAACAAACAGGATACTAAAAACTGAGCATCAGCTCTTTAACAAGCAAAGTGTGACATGCTCTGTGATATGGCTGGAAAGAATTCAGAGTTTAGGAGGCAAACATGCAGTTTCCAATATTAAAAATCACAAAAGTTCATTTACAATAATAAATAATAACAGCATTTCTTAACAGTAAGAACTGGGTCTAAGCTACTCCATCTCTTCTAAGGTAAAGAACTGGGTCTGAGCTACTCCGTCTCTTCTAAGGTTTCAAAGAGAGGGAAAAAATACAATCACTACATCTCTCCCAACCTACAAGCAGAGAGAGATCTCAAAGCACACAGCACATACTCTCTATACTACAGTGTAAGAAGGCAGGAATCAAATTCAAAAAGCTTGGAGTATCCATTTAAAACAACCAAGCAGAATAAGAGGGAAAGAGCTAAGAGAGATGAAAAAGATACATTCCCAACTGTCATTCAAGAGACATGAGGGAAGAGAATTCCCTCAGCCTATACAAAACTAACTGCTCCACATTGAGGACTTGAGACTTGGACAGCGTGGAGTTGAATTCCAACAATAACAACATCTGCAAACGCCACTCAGCAAAGCCATGGATCATTCAAAACACTTGGAAGGGCAACTGATTAGAAAACGGAGATACAAATACTTCTAGCTGTGGATATTCCATCCCCCCCCCTCCCCCAGTCAGGTTGGTCCTGCCAACTTACCAGTATGGAGTGCCAACAAAAGAGTTAGCAGGAGCAATGATGGAGGCTGAGCCAAAGTCCCCCAGCTTCACTTGTCCTGGTTCTGTCAGCAATATATTCCCAGCTTTCACATCTCTGAAAAAGATAGGCTTGGTTGTTAAAAACTGCAAAGGCAAGCAGCGATGAAGGCTCTGGCCAGTGAAAATAGTGAGAAACCAGGGATGGCAGGAAAGGGAAGACAGATAAGTACTGATCAGGACTGGGTCACACAGGATGCATTGAGATTTTTAAAAGTGGTGTTACAGACCGTATAAAAATCCAGTTTTAAATTGAAAACTGGCATTTCCCGTTATTTCTCTGGGCAGGAGGAATCTTATGGTACTATTAGCTGTTCCCTGCCATGCGTTGCTATGGTCCAGTCTGTGTATATGTGCTGTATGTACACACACACACACATATATACACATATATACATACACACACACACATATATAGATGGTTTTGGGCATGTGTTGCAAAGTAAAGACTTTCGGTATATATTTCAGATTTCAATATTAATGTCAAAAATACGTAGTATGATTTTTTTGGCTTTTTAAATCTCTTCTGCTGTGTCTTTCAGTGTTTTTATGAGCGATGGTCACTCGTTGGCCTGATACGGGTATTGTGTCCAAATTTGGTGTCAATTCGCCCAGTGGTTTTTGAGTTATGTTAATCCCACAAACGAACATTACATTTTTATTTATATAGATAATACATCCTATTTAAAATCAAGTTCTAAGCATTAATCCTGGGGTTTTCATTCACTTCACACATACATATAATGCTTTGTGGCACTGTTTCAACTCTGCTGGGCCTGCACTAAAAGCCCTGCATATTTTTATTGAGTTGGTCACTCTATCACCCAGTTTGCCCAGGACAGGACAGGGAGGAGATGGGATTACAGAGGCAAGGAAGGTATGCATATCTCACCTGTGAATCATGTTGTGCGAATGCAGGTACGCAAGCCCCTGCAGGGCGCCATGAGTTATGGCTGCAATCTCTACTTCTTGCAGTGGTTTCTTGTGCACTAAAAAGAGGCAGAAGGGAAGACAGAGCACATCACAAGGAAGTTGAGGAAAAAGGAGATAGAAAATAAGCTATGTTTACACAGGCTTGGGTTACTCACCTTCCAGCAAGTCTGAGGCTGAACCTAGGCAGTATTCCATCACCAGCTAGTGGAGTAAGAGGTCGGGAAGGAAATGAGGACATGTCAGGATATATGTATATACCAGGCATTGTCAAACTTAGACCCTGCAGGTGTTTTGGACTTCCAACTCCTACAATTCCTAACAGCCTCAGGCCCTTTCCTTTTCCCCCACAGCCGCTTAAGCAGCTGAGGGGGAAAAGGAAGGGGCCTGAGGCTGTTAGGAATGATAGGAGTTGAAGTCCAAAACACCTGGAAGGCTCAAGTTTGCCCATTCCTGGCCTAGAGTGTTTCACCCCAAAGGATTAGCGCAAACCATTTCTCTCTCATCTTACCCATGCTGTATGTTCCCGTAGATAGCAGCCCTTATACTCGATTGTGTTTGGATGCCGCAGCTTTTGCAGAAACTTCACCTCCTTGATAATGTCTTGCCACTTCTGGAAGACACAGAAAGGGAGCCTGGATACAGAATGTCTTGCATTTGAATGGAGGAGAGAACTGTAGGACTAGAAACTGGGGCAAATGAAATATCCAGGGCCATGGGAGTCCAGCAATTACTAATTGTCAAAATATCTCTCATGTTTTAAAGAAAAGACGAAGCACAAACCTCATTTGATTGCTTCCCACTGTAGGACATTTTCTTGATGGCCACCACTTCATTGTTGCGTATGTCTCTGGCCTGAGAAGGGAACAGAGAATAAGCCAATGGAGGAGAGAATTGAGAGTAGTGGTCAGAATCAGGAAGCAGGTAAGAGAGAAGTGGCGTTTTGTTTCTGTGCCTGAAAGAGGCAATGCAGATCAAAGGTATAAGACAATGTTGTGGTTCAATGTTGTGTTTTTTCCACCAGCCCACTTTGGTTGGGATTCAATGTTTACTTTTAAGCTCTTTTTTTGTATCTATATTTGAATTATTGTATGTTTACTTTTAAGCTTTTTTATTGTATTTCTATTTGAATTACTTCTAAGCTTGTTATTGTATTTATATTCAAATTATTATCTCATGTTTTATTATTGATCTGTTAATTGTTTAAATTCATATGTTATGTTTATTATTATACGTGTAATGTGGCATTGTATGCCATGGATTGTAAGCCACCCTAAGTCCCCCACTGTGGTGAGAAGGGTGGGGTATAAATGTAGTATAATAATAATAATAATAATAATAATAATAATAATAATAATAATGGCTATCCATCATCTTAGAGTTATTAGGAATAGAGCAAGTCTGAGATATGTACAAGTGTCAGGGACCTATCTCTTTTACTAAAAACATAAATGGAGCCATGAAGGAACACGAAGGATCTATTGGGCCCAATATATGAAACTGTACAATCAGAACATGGCTTTCCCTCATTACCAGCATCTGTTTTAGTGACATAAGTGGCTCTGAACCTGGGAAGATGGAAACAAAGACCATAGCTAGGAGTCCCTGCCATGTGAGCAGTGGAAAAGAATGGTGCCTGGGGCAGAGGACAAATTGGCATTCTGCCATGGCTAAAATCTCACTTAACAATATCCCAGGCCAACTAATTACTTGAACAGGCTAAGGTAGAAAATTTCAACATCCTAGAATTAAAAATGTCATCATAAAAAAAGCAGTTATCTTGTGTTGATATCCAAAAAGATTGGGACACCTGTCTCACTTTGCTGAACAATAGGGATATGCCCTTCGTGGCTCTAAGGCACAATATGAGTACTTACGACAAGGGTCATTCTGTAAAAACTGCTCGAAGTGAGTTATTGTAGGTTTTTGACCTCACAACTTCTGTGGATGCCTGCCATAGATGCAGGTGAAATGTCAGGAGAGAATGCTTCTAGAACATGGCAATACAGCCCGAAAAAACTACAACAACCTGGTGATTCCGGCTATGAAAGCCTTCGACAATACATTGCTCTAAGTGACCTCCACCAAGTGTAGTTCTGTCAATATTGCCACCAGCACTCACAAAGTACACAGCGCCGAAGCTGCCATGGCCAATCTCCCGCAGATCAACAAAGAGCTTCTCAGGGTCATCCTTGAAGAAAAGTTCAGCCACCTCAGGATCCTTCAAGCTGCCAGCCCGAGCATTCGACGGCATGATGGCCGTGGAAGAGGCTGGGCCTCACTCTCACCCTTTACCTAAGGAAGGGAAACAGAGATGAGCTCTCTCACCATAGCTGGAAAGTTGTGATTCACCTGTCTTGCAGAAACAAAATAATCTACACCTCGTGAGTATCATGATAGGAGAGCCTTTACCTGTCTCCTTCAGTTTATTGATAGGTAAAGGGAAGGAATAACGGTTCTATCAATTTCATCACACTAGAGAATGAATGCACTTTAAATCCAGTTTCTGCCTTCTGTAGAATTCTGGGGTTTGTAGTTTAGTGAGGCTGTTAAAGGCTCCTTCCTAAACTACAAACCCTAGAATTCTGCAGGAGGCAGCAACCAGATTTCAAGTGGATTCATTCTCTAGTGTGATGAGGTAGTAAATGAAGTGTCTCACTTTTTTCTGAAGAGAACCAGGATCAATGTCCAATCTTATCAATGGTAGGTTACATAGTGGTCTCTTCAAGATACTTTCTTTGCAGAATCATGCAAATTCCCATCCACATCAACCACCCCAAAGAATGGCAAGAATATGACAATCAATGAGAGTACAAAGCAAAGCAATGCAAGAGAAAGGCAAGATTCTATAGAGGTAAAACTGCTTTTCCCCCTTATTAAGGTTTTTCTCCTCCCATACACAAGGCAGGATTCAGCAGGGAACTGGAAATGTAGAGCAGCATGCAACTCCCACCTTTTCTTATCTCTGCCTTCACCACTTTCCCCTGCTCTCATTCTTGACTTGAGTTCTTTGTTCTTTCCAGGAAAGCTTAGGCATCCTGATGAGTCTCTTCCGCTTTCCAGGGACATGAGGTTGCCTTAGTAAGAGCACAGCTGTCCCTGTAGCTTCACAACTCAAATAAAACCCTTTCCTCCTTCAGTTACAGGACTATAAGTTCTTGCTCATTTTTTTTCTCTTATGTGGATCAAGCAAAATATGCTACTAGTCTCATGGACCTGCATGGCCAACTGTTCCTTCAGAATAATCCACAGGATTGCAATCAGAGGGGTCATGTTCTCATTTAGGCCTCATTTACACTGACCATTTAATGCAGTTTGAAGATAGCTTTGAACTACAGCGACTAGACAACAAACCTTCGCAAAAGCACATGAAAGAATCATCATCTAGGCCTCATACTGGTTCCAGGCGGGTTATTTTGCACAGCAAAATCACCTTAATAGTAGTTCAAAACAGACTGAAATAGTCAGTGTAGATGTACCTAAAAAGTTACTTCATCTTATTGAGCCTTTTAATTTAATTTCTCTTCTATACTTGCTGACAGGACACTACAATACAACCTAATATATATGTTTGTTCCTTTAAACCAGTGGTTCTCAACCTGTGGGTCCCCAGATGTTTTGGCCTTCAACTCCTAGAAATCCTAACAGCTGGTAAACAGGCTGGGATTTCTGGGAGTTGTGGGCCAAAACCCCTGAGGACCCACAGGTTGAGAACCACTGCTTTAAACACACTTATGTTGTCTTTGAGACTTTCTTATCCTCATAGAAGAGTGGCTACCTTTGCTGTTCTCTTCATACATTTCTTATACAGTTGTTCCTCCATATTTGCATTTTTGACTTTTCCAGATTTGATTATTCAAGAATTTGATTAAAACTCTCTAGGGATCATTAGGTTCTCCAGTGCAATTCTGTGGTTCGGCTTTCAGTGGAAGTTGATGACAGAGTCATTCTGGAAGATCTAAAAATTCCTACAGAGGTGTTCCCTTAGGTAAAAAAGGTAATTCTTTTATTCACAATTTTTTCACTTTCATGGGGGTCTTGTGTTCCGAACTCCAGGAAATGTGGCAGGCTGACTGTAAAGTGAGGGGATCTGCTATGAAGTATCAAAGGGAATTGTGAGAAAACACTCAGGAAAATAAAACTTGTAAAAGGTTTCACTGGATTTAGTATTTTTTCTGAGGAAGGAGACTTTTATAGTTGTCAACACAGATTGACTGGCAGTGAAGAAGTTGCCTACTCCTAATCCATACACCCCAGATGTACTTAAAACTGTTCTTGTTATTTTTATTATAAAATTTTGGTTGGTTACATGTGAAACACTTGGATATTACCATTAAGAAAAACAAACTACTGAACTGTAACAAAGACTCAGGAAAGAAGACACGTTTATGTTCCTAAATCAGTTGAAACTTCTGAATACCTTCTCCCACTCAATCTCAATTAACTTATTTATGAGATTTATTTTTAATCTGTTTAAATGCTATACACGTTTGCCATTGACTTCCCAAACTTGGTACATCTCTAGAATCTAGTTTTTACTTAAAAAAAAACCCTTAAGAATTAATGGCTGGGGTATTTATTTAATGGTCCAAGACCTTGAAATGAGGTGGGACATTACAGAAAATTGCTGAATTACTTTCAGTCCTTTCACAAGAAGACCACATATTTTAGTATGAATTTAACACCAGAAAGCAACAGGGCTTCTTTCAACAGACAGATGGTATTCTTGTCCTCAACCAGTAGCAAAGAAACTGAATTTCAGGAAGTCCAAAGTGCCTTGGAAGGTTCCTGGAGCACAAGGATGTATTTGTCACATCCTTGTCACAATGTGGGGCAGACATGTAGTCTACTACACTGCTCTAGATGGCAAGGGGGCAGGGTTGACAGGCTGGCTCCTTTGCATGCACATGCAAGCACAGCTTGGAAAATATACTGCAACACCCATGATCCCTAGTCAGTATGCTAGTAATGGGTTTCGAAGGATTGGAGTCCAAAGTTTTGAAACAGCATAAGCATCTCCACGTAAGGTATAACCCCAAAACTGGGGAACCAAGGACTTATGGCAGGAATAATCCCAGGGAACGCCCTCCGCCTCCCCCGAAATTCTCTGATTACTAAATATATCCCAGAATGATGTGCATTCTTCACCTTTGTTCCAGATAAAACCCAGGGCAAATTTGGAACAGGTTCCTCTGGAACAAAAAGAGTGCAAACTTCAAGCTACTCAGAAAATGGTTTTTCATATTCTTAACTGGATAATACAATAGCTCAACAGTAGCAGATGGGAAACATCCCAAGGAAAAATAGGCATCTGTCATCTGTGTGTCTCACGCGAACCCTATGGAAAGGGCCCATGAACCATTGTCTGTATGGGCTGATGCGTCTGGACAGTGGAGACTACCCATGAAATCACAGCCATCTGGGCATCTCTCCATTCCCAGTCATTTGCTTCAGAGAAAGGATTAGCAACTTCAGACTCACAAGAAAAGTGAGACCGGGTGCATTTTCCTTTCAGAAGAGCACCAATCTGCAAATGAACCTCATTTGTTTAAACAAGCCACTTGGGGTCACTCCTCTTCTCCCTCTGAGACGGGCAGCTGTCAGTGGACAGACTCCCCTCCTCCATCCAGCCCAGTGAACAGAAAAACAAGGAAATCAAGTGAGTTCAGGCGGGTTGTGTCAGCAAGAGGAAATCCTTGCATTGTTCACTTGCTTCCCAGGGAACAATCCAAAGCAAAAAGGCAAACCACAAGGCCAACCTTGGCAGTGGGAACACTGGCAGGAAGGTATCTGGATCGACACTGAGGGATGCAGAATGAAATGCAGATTTACATTCTCAGACTCTAGAACACAGGTACACTGCAGCTCCAAGTACTAATGACCACTAGGCTAAGGTTGTTAAGACCTGTACTCCAACATCATCTGATGGAAATACAGTTTGGATGAGACGGATATTAATTCCATAGAAAAGCATCAGCCTTGAATATCAGTTTTGGGACAGGAGAAGTAGGAAATAAATTGAACAAATAATCTTTACAGGAAGAGCAAAACTGCTGCCTGGAAACATAAAATGTACTACTGCAACAACAACAACAACAACAACAACAAAAACCTCAATCATAGAGGTGATGCAGTATAATATTTAGAGTTCTGAACTGAGTTCAGGGTCAAAGCCCTGCTTATCCATGAATCATCATGTGACCTTGGCACAGTCACTCTGTTTCATCACATGTGACATTAAAGGGTTGCTGTGATGATAAAGCAGGTAGGACTATGCATATCAAGATGCTTGTTTATAAAGCTATTGTTCTTCCAACACTGTTGTACGTCTGAGAAACATGGGCCACCTACAAGAGTGCACTCAACTTCTGGAGGGATTCCATCAGCATTGCCTTCAAAAAAGCCTGCAAATCTCTTGGGAAGACAGGCAGAGCAACATCAGCATTCTGGAAGAAGTAAAGACCACCAGCACTGAAGCAATGATCCCCTGCCATCAACTTCGCTGGACTGGCCACATTGTCTGAATGTCCGATCACTGTTTCCCAAAGCCGTTACTTTATTTTCAACTCAATAATGGAAATCGGAATGTCGGTGAACAACAAAAGAGATTTAAAGATGTGCTTAAAGCTAATCTTTTAAAATGTGGTATAAACCCCAAGAACTGGGAAGCCCTAGCACTGGAGTCAGCTGTTACCAATGAATTTTGAATAGCCACAATTACAGAGCAAAAGGAAGAAATGTGCAAAGAGGAAGGCACAACAAGCAAATCCCTGTTGTGATTGCTTTCCACCTGGAAATCTATGTCCTCAATGTAAAAGACCATGTGGATCCAGAATGGATCATCAGAGACATTTACAGACCCAAAGCCAAGACTCTACCTCTGGAACACAATCATACTCAACTAGAAGTGATCATGCATGAATGTATGATACCTTCAACAAAAATATTTAGTACATTTTAATTAATTTAGCATATTTTATTTATTTATTTATCTAATTGTATTTAACTTATTTAACTACTCCCAATTTGGCTCGGAGCGGTTTACAGAAGCAGATTAAAACAACACAATAGCTTTAAAAATAACAATAGCAAAACACTAGGCGGCGAGAACAGGTGTAGTCCAGGTTGTTCACCCGTCAAAAGCTTGCCGGAAAAGAAAAGTTTTACAGGCTTTCCGAAAAGCAAGTAGGTCTCGGATGGTTCGAGTTTCAACCAGCAAGGCATTCCATAAATAAGGGGCCACGATCGAGAAAGCTCTATGCCTAGTAGATGACAAATGGTCAGTCCGGATGTCA